CATAAATACATGCGCATGCAAAATTTACGCGTGCATATTTACGCGTTCGCTCGCTCGTGTATATTTACGCACATCGCTCGTTCGGTCGTCCTATTACTTATTCATTCTTCTACTCTCTCATTCGTTCGTTCATTCATTTATTCATTTATTTACTCACTCACTCTTTCTCTTCTCTCTCTTCTCTCTCATCCCTCTCTTCTCTGCTTGCTCTCTGCTTTCTCTTTCTCTTCTCTCACTCTCTCTCTCTCTCTCTTCTCTACTCTCTCTCTCGTCATCTCTCTCTCTCTCTCTTCTCTCTCTCATTTCTCTCTCTCTTCTCTCATCTCTCTGTCTCCTCTCTCTCTCTCTCTCTCTCTCTTCATTTCTCTCTCTCTCTCTCCCTCTCTCGTCTCTACATCTCTCTCATCGTCTCGTCTTCTACTCTCTCTCCTCCCTCTCCTCTCTCTCTCTCTTCTCATCTCCTCTCCCCTCCTCGTCCCGCTCCCTCTCCCTCTCTCTCTTCTCCTTCTCTCCTCTTCTCTCCTCTTCATCTCGTCTCTCTCTCTCTCTTCTCCCTCTCTCTGGTCTCTTCTCCTCTCTCTCCTCTCTCGTCTCTCTCTCTCTCTCTCATTTCTCTCCTCCTCTCTCTCTCTCTCCTCTCTCCTCTCTCTCTCCCTCTCTCTCCTCTCTCTCTCTCTCTTCTCTCTCTTCTCTCTCTCTCTCTCTCCTCTCTTCCTCCCTCACTCTCTCTCTTCCCTCTCTTCTCCTCTCTCTCTCTCTCTCTCTCTCTCTCTCTCTCTCTCTCTCTCTCTCTCTCCTTCTTCTCTCTCTTCTTCTCTCTCTCTCGTCTCTCCTCTCTCTCCTCCTCCTCTCTCCTCTCTCTCGTCTCTCTCCCTTTTCTCTCCTCTCTCTCTCTCCTCTCCTCTCTCTCTCTCTTCTCTCTCTTCTCTCTCTCTCTCTCTCTCTCTCTCTCTCTCTCTCTTCTCTGCTCTTCTCTCTCTCTCTCCTCTTTCGTCTCTCTCTCTCTCTCTCTCCTCTCTCTCTTCTCTCTCTCTGCTCTCTCCTTCTCCTCCCTTTCTCCCTCTCTCTCTTCTTCTCTCTCCCTCTCTCCTCTCTCCCCCTTCTCTCTCTCTCTTCTCTCTCCTCTCCTCTCTCTCTCTCTTCTCTCCTCTCCTCTCTTTCTCTCTCTCTCTCTCTGTCTCTCCTCTCTCCCCCCCCTCTCTCTTCTTCTCCTCTCTCTCCTTCCTCCTTCTCTCCTCTCCCCTCCCTCTCCTCCCCTCCTCCCTCCCCCCCCCCCCCCCCCCCCTCTACCCCTTCCTCCCCCCGCCCTCTCACCTCTCCCTTTCCCCCCCCCTCACCCTTCTCCCCCCCTCTCTCCTCTCTCTCTCCCCCTCTCTCCCTTCTCTCTTCTCTCTCTCCCTCTCTCTCCTCGTCCTCTCTCCCTTCTCTCTTCTCTCTCTCCCTCTCTCTCTCTCTCTCTCTCTCCTCGCCTCTCTCTCCTCTCTCCTTCTCTCTCTCTCTCCTCTCCTCTCTCTCCTCCCTCTCTCTCTCTCTCTCTCTCTCCTCTCTCTTCCCTCCTCTCTCTCTCCTCTCTCTCTCTCTCCCTCCTCTCCTCTCTCTCTCTCTCTCTCTCTCCTCTCTCTCTCCTCCTCCCTCTCTCTTCTCTCCTCTCTCTCTCTCTCTCTCTCCTCCTCTCTCTCTCTCTCTCTCTCTCTCTCTCTCTCTCTCTATCTCTCCTCTCTCTCTTCTCTCCTCCCTCTCTCTCTCTCTCTCTCTCTTCCCTCTCTCCTCCTCTCTCTCTCTCCTCTCTCTCTCTCTCTCTCCCCTCTCTCAGTCCTATCTCTCCCCTCTCTCTCTCTCACTCACTGGCTCACTCACTCACACTCTCTCACTCTCTCATACACGCCACGGAGTTACTTACATACACAATGAATGCAAGAAGGCGTGTGAGTATGAAAAGGAAGGTGGGAAGTGAAAATGTGATGTAATAATGATAATGATGATAACGATAATGACATAAAGATGGTAATAACGACAATGCTTCCGGTCGAAAAAGGGATAATATGGTAATGGGCACTTTCCCTCTTGATCTTTCCTCCCTTCTATTTCCTTCCCTTTTCTCCCATTTCTCTCTCTTCTCTCGTTAAGCTGTTGAAGAGGATTCTTTGTCAAGAACACCATTTATTTTTCTCATCTCGTCTTCACCCTCTTCATCTTCTTCTTCGTCTTATTCTATTTCATCTGCGTCTTCCTTTTTACTTTTTTCTCGTCTTCTTGGTAGTGGTCGTTGTCTCCTTCTTTCTCTTCCTCTTCTTTTTTCCTTCTGTTCCTCCTTCTTCTTCCTTCTGTTCCTCCTTCTGCATCTTCATCTTCTTCTCCTCCTCCTCCTCCTCCTCTTCCTTTTTCTACTCTTTCACCGTCTCATCCTCATCCTCACCTCCCCCCACTTTAACTCTCACCTCTCCTCCTCCTCCTCCTTCTTCTTTCTCTTCTTCTCATCTTCTCATCTTCTTTGTCTTCG